CTGGCTGCAAGAATTTGTTCAATGGGATGGAAATTACACACACCTCAAAAAGCTAATAATAATCAAAGGGCAGCAATAACCATGGGGTTCAGTAAAAACCAACAATTCCATTCCACCTGTGTTTACTGACAGAGCAGAATGCAGTAGTTGTCTTTGCTCCTGCTTCTCCAGTCCTGTTCTCCTCACAGCCATACTCACTTGAGCTCCAGTCCTGCTCTCCTCACGGCTATACTCACTTGAGCACTCCTTGCAAGCCCAGACATCCCACATCCTTCCCTATCCTGGTTTCAAAATGTGTCCAGTGAGCAAAACTTACTCCCAGATCTTTGTTTCTTATATCCTTGCCCACTGAAAGTAACCATTGTTTCTAAAGAAATATGACTGATTCTAAGCCTGAGGGAGTATGGTACAAGATGATTCTAGAATACATTTCTATACCAGAAAGAAAGAAAATGCCAAAAACAATAGTGGGGATGTGAAACAGAGGCATAAGAGCCAGCTTAAGGCGTGCCCATGGGTGAAATCTGGGACCATTTGAGCATAGAGATAATTATGCACCTTAATTAATTATATATTATTGAAAACAAATTGAAAGTCTTTACTTCATACCATAGATATATTGATATCAGTATACAGTTGATAGTTAGGAAGGAAAAGGAAGGAGGAAGGAAAGAAGGAAGGGAAGAAGGGAGGAAAAAAGGCGGGCTCTTGCTAACAGTAGAATCCTAAGTGCTGACTAATAAATGTAAAGGGAGTGCTGAAGTTGGAAAGTCATCATTTTGTAACCATCAATGGAGGGTAACTTCAGGAGAAAGCAGAATATTTGCATTACATTAAAAATGTCCCCATGTAGTCAATTTATTGTATTGAAAGAGAAAAATTAGTAATTATAGAGTGGAGAAATTGGACCACACCTGGAGCAGATGATCAAATTAATATCACCATTGTGAGACAGATGGTTGCCCTGTGCCTCCAGATGTGACACCCTCTTAGAAAGACGCAAAGTCACCTTTGTAGAATTCTGGATAATAATGTATTTCCTGGATCCAATCATGAGGAAATATAAGACAAACTCAAAACAAGGAAATTTTATTTAAAAATGGAGGAAGGGACTGCATTCCCCCCAAATGTCAATCTTATTAAAAAAATCTGTAGAAAATATTTCAAAGTGAAGGCTAAGGAGACATGACAACCTAAATGTTAACTGCCCCTACACTGGATCTTGTTACAGAGAAAAAAAAAATTCTGTAAAGGATATTATTAGGCCTATTGAAAAAAAAATTGGAAACATTAGATTAGAATAAAGCATTATATAAATATAGAATTTACTAAAGTTAATAACTGGTCTGTGGCTATGTAAGAGGATATTCCTACTCTATGGAAAAATACACCGACAAATCCAGGGGTAAAGTGTTCTAATTTATACAACTCACCTTCAAGTGGTTGAGATTGGGAGAGAGAGAAAGAAAACAAGATATAATGTAAACAGTAAGTGCATATAAGTATATGTGTGTCTTTTGTACTGTTTTATTGCTGTAATTTTTTTTCTGTAGGCTTAAAATTATTTCTGAATAAAAGTTTAAAGAAAAGAGTAAAAAAAAAAATGTGCCCTTGATGAGGGATCAGGGAACATCTTTGCTGATAGCTCAGATCAACATTTTCTAAGATTTTCCCACTGGTATGTTGGCAACATACAATGTGGATAAATAACTAAGTGGTAGGTTATGCAATTTGAAGTGCCTTAGGTTTTATTTTTGTACTCAGTTATCAACTTATCAAACACCTATTATGTGCCAGATAACGTGCTATGATATGCTTTTTTTCTCCTCCTCAAGAAAGCATACTAGACTAGATGTGAAAGAGAATAAAATACTGCAAAAAATAAAATAATTCACAACCATAATTTATTAATAGCAGCAAATTCTTTGTGTAAACCTGATGTTCTGCACTTACCTCTGTGCATTAGAAACTCATTTAGAAGCCACTGAGTTGACACAGCTCAAGCCACTTTCTTTTTCAGACTTGAGACCCAGAAAAGTTTCACTCCCCTACCTTATTTCTGGGACCAGCCCATTGTTCCTTAGTGACAAAGTTCCATGCTTTCTCACTGCTAGGAAATCTGCCTGAAAAATGTATAAAGTACCTCTGTTCCCTTAAGTATGCAGCCTGACTATGCAGTGTCATTAAGACAGAATTTGTAGTTTTGATTTGTATTTCCCTGATGATAAGCGATGTTGAGCATTTTTTCATGGGTTGGTTGGCCATCTGGATGTCTTCTTTGGAGAAGTGTCTATTCATGTCTTTTGCCCATTTCTTCAGTAGATTATTTGTTTTTTGGGTGTTGAGTTTGATAAATTCTTTATAGATTTTAGATACTAACCCTTTATCTGATATGTCATTTGCAAATATCTTCTCCCATTCCATCGGTTGCCTTTCATCATCAGGGAAATACAAATCAAAACCACAATGAGATACCACCTCACACCTGTCAGAATGGCTAACATTAACAACTCCGGTAACAACAGATGTTGTCAAGGATGTGGATAAAGAGGATCTCTTTTGCACTGCTTGATGGGAATGGAAACTGGTTCAGCCACTCTGGAAAACAGTATGGAGGTTCCTCAAAAAATTAAAAATAGAACTACTCTGCGATCCAGCAGTTGCACTACTAAGTATTTATCCAAGGGATACAGGTTGCTGTTTCGAAGGGGCACAAGCACCCCAGTGTTTATAGCAATACTATCAACAATAGCCAAAGTATGGAAAGAGTCCAAATGTCCATCGATGGATGAATGGTTAAAGAAGATGTGGTAATATATATACAATGGAGTATAACTCGGCAATCAAAAAGAATGAAATCTTGCCATTTACAACAATGTGGATGGAATTAGAGGGTATTATGCTAAGCAAAATCAGTCAGTCAGAGAAAGACAAATAGATGACTTCACTCATATGAGGACTGTAAGATACAGAACAGATGAATATAAGGGAAGGGAAGCAAAAATAATATAAAAGCAGGGAGGGAGATGAAACATAAGAGACTCTTCAATATGGAAAATAAACAGAGGGTTACTGGAAGGGCTGTGGGGGGATGGGCTAAATGGGTAAGGGGCATTAAGGAATCTATGCCTGAAATTATTGTTGCACTATATGCTAACTAACTTGGATGTAAATTTAAAAAAAGAAAAAAGAAAAAAAAATTGTAGTCCTGTTGTTAACCTCTGGCAAAGTCCAATGGGACACCCAATCCTCCCAAATGGTGACTGCCAACTTGTGTGTGAAACTTTGTCCCTTGTGTGTACCCCTTTGTCCCAGCATATAGTCTCTTAGACACCTTGGAACCATGCACTGCCTTCTTATATTATTGAAGGTACAGCTTGATATGTTTATGGCTCACCCTCAAGAAACTCTCAATCCACTCTGGGTCATCAGAATTCAATGGAAAGGACTCTGGGATCTTGGCACTTGACAATTTTCAGAACAGGTTTAGCTCTGTCACTTAATGAATGAGTGGTTATAGCCAAGTCATATAAAATCTCTAGTCCCGTTTCCTCTCTTTAAACTAGAAATAATGGTGCTATCTTCCTCCGAGCATGGTTGTAAGAAGTGAGATAGTGCTATACAAAATGTTTGACATGGTGCCTTGCAAATAGTGATTAGAAGGAAAATGTTAATCATTAATATTACTTTCGGAAGATAAACATAATTTTTATTTTAATGGCTAGAAGCAGAATTCCTCTTTAGGATGACATACTTCTTGTTTAAATTGCTTCTTGGGGAGAGCAAGGCCCTGAGGTTGTGGATTAGAAGGAAACAGGGATATGAAAGACACAGTAAAATTATTCTGTATAGTTGAGCAACAGAAGTTGGATAAAACAACAATTACAATGACAAGAAAATAAGGCAAAAAGGTTAAGACAAGGGACGCCTGGGTGGCTTAGTAGGTTAAGCACCCGACTCTTGATTTCAGCTCAGCTCGTGATCTCAGGATTGTGAGATCGAACCCTATGTTGGGCTTCACACTGAGTATGGTGCCTGCTTAAGATTCTCCCTCTCCATCTCTCTCTCTGTGCCCCTCCCCCACTTATTCTCCTCTCTCTCTCTCTCTCTCAAAAAAATAACTTAAAAAAAGTTAAAAGTAAAGAAAGGAGAGAAAGATTTATTTACATTGTAGTGTGCCAAAGAGTGTTTTAAGAGGTGGACTGTTTAATGTTGAGTTGTCAACATTGCTACAAGTTGGCCACCTGTCTTCCCAAAACTCCTATTAAATCTATGACTTAAGTGAATGTTCCTGGCTGGTTAGTTGGTTTTTGTTTGTTTTTTATAGTTTGTTTCCATAATGCATATTGAAGTGAAAAAAGTGGGTTTCATGACTGGAACAGCATTGAGCAGAGAAGAATGAAAAAGTGCTGAAGGAAAGAGCAAGCAAGACTGAGAACTTTGTAGGAAAAGGACCTAGAAGAGCCTCTAAGAAGGAATCTCTGACAAAGTACAAAAATTTTAAGGGGTAGTGGGATGGCGACTTAACCTGACATATAGGTTTTATCCTTATTGGAGGTAAGAGAATGGACTTGCCTCAACGAGCCTCATTCCCAAAATATTTTAAAGTAGATAAAATACTAAGACTTGCAAAATATGATAGATCCACAGTCTTTTATCTATAATTCCAAAATACAAAATGGTCTGACAATATTTCGTTTAGCACCAATACTCTGTTAGTGAAGAAACTTGACCTTAGTCACCCTGAGGCTGCCAACCATCTTTCTTTATTGCCATGGTGGGTGTATTCTTACATCTCGCTGAAGAGTTATATGTGTTGGATTATGGTGTGCTGCTCAGACTCTGTGAGGATTATTGGCCACATAGGCAATATGCCAATTTCCTTATTCAGAAAATTCTGCCTTCTTAAACATATCTGGGACCAGGGTTTTGGATAAGAGATTCTAAACATGATTCAGAAAAACAGAAGAAATTTTAAAGGAGTGATAAATGGGAGTTACCTTCCAGTGTATTCCTAAAGCTGAAATTGGCAGCTTTATCCATGGAATCCGATTCATATTGTGTCAGACTTAGGCAAAATTCCACATCAGCAGAGGAGGGGAGCCTTGGGGTCCTGGCTTTGTCGTGGTTTCCGGGATTGCGCAGTAATGGTCCCTCTGGAGTTCCATCACATAAAGCCTGACGGCTATTGTACTCCTCCAATCGGGTACAGATGATCTACACAAAAACCTTTATGTTAAAGGAGTTGTGGCTAGAGATTATCATCAAGAGGTTCATATTTTTAAGTAAACTGTTGACAGGCATCTGCGTGGCTCAGTCAGTTAAGCGTCTGACTTCAGCTCAGGTCATGATCTCGCAGTTTGTGGCTTCGAGCCCCTCATAGGGCTCTGTGCTGACATCTCAGAGTCTGGACCCTGCTTTAGATTCTGTGTCTCCCTCTCTCTCTTGCCCCTCCACTGCCCACACTGTGTGTGTGTCTCTCTCTCTCAAAAATAAATAAACATTAAAAAAATTAAACTGTTGAAGGAAGCAGCCCATCTGAGGGTTGCAGGGCAGCGTAAGCAGTGAAAGTTAAAATCTAGAACAGACTTCTAGTCTTGCATCTAATTAAGAAAATGAGTCAAATTTCCTATGTCTCATCTATAAAATGGGGATACTAATAACTACTGCATATAATTTTGTCAAATATTTATTTGATGAGAAAATTATTTTGACAAACATCTGTTAAACATCCATTGTGTGACTTTGCCAGTTGTGTGCCCATGAAGCTAGCCCTGGTACTGAGTCACATCTGTGCCATCACTTGTTTTCTCTGTTTATATGTCTTCTCTTTTGGCTCTAACAAGTTTCATGGCTTACATGGCAAATACATGATAAGAACTCCCTACTTCTTATCTCTGCTTCAAAACCACTACTCTGAACTCTGAACTTTGTTTATCCATCTTGGACTTTTTATTTCAGTGTTATCTCACACATATCTCAAATGGAACATTTAAAATCCAAAAATCTGTTCCTCTCTCTCCGTTTCTTATCACACCAACCATCCTGCTGCTCAAACCAGAAGCCCATGAATCATAATTTTTAACCTGGAGAGTAACTGGTGAGTTTTCATTTGTATTTTATTCTCTTATGTCTTTCACATTGAGATCATTAACCAATTGTTTCAATTCTACCTCTAGAATATAGCTTGAATATGGGAATTGCTCTTCAATTTGCTTACAAATTGTGTGATCTGACTGCCAAAGTCAGATTGGCTACCCTTCTCTGGGCATTACTTGGGCTTCTCCATGCTGTGACTTTGTTCATGCCTAAGCACACTCACTCCTTGCCATGGGTCTGGTGTCTGACCTCATCCTCAAGGCTGAGGCAATATTACAGAAAAAACAGACATGAGGCACCTGGGTGGCTCAGTCATTTAAGCGTCCAATTCCTGATTTTGGCTCAGGTCAGTCATCATCTCATAGTTAGTGAGTTTGAGCCCCACATAGGGCTCTGCATTGACAGTGCGGAGCTTGCTTGGGATTCTCTCTCTCTCTCTTTCTCTCCCTCTCTCTGTCCCTCCCCTGCTCATGCTTTCTCTCTCTCTCTCTCTCAACATAAATAAAACTTCAAAAATAAAAAAAAAAAAAAAAGAAAAAAGACACTGTCAACCCTGACTTCAAAAGAATTTGAAAGAATCTGACTCTTGGGGCTCCTGGGTGGCTCAGTTGGTTAAGTGTCTGACTTCGGCTCAGGTCATGATCTCATGGTTTGTGATTGTCAGTTTGAGCCCCACGTCGGTCTTTGCTGACAGCTCAGAGCCTGGAGCCTGCTTCTAATTCTGTGTCTCCCTCTCTCTCTGTCCCTCCCCCACTTGTGCTCTGTCTCTATCAAAAATAAATAAATGTAAAAAAATAAAAGAAAAGAATCTGACTCTAAATATGAATAATTTTTATGAATCCTTCATTGAATTATTTTGTGTATAGTTTCATTTATATCTAGGCAGAAAAATAAGCTATGATAAAAAATAATTCACTAAATAAGTTAAAAGGTGCTCTTTCAGTATAAATGTAAAATAAAAATTCTAAATGATTAAAAATATCACATCATAATTTAATAGGCATTTATTTTTTTGTCTCAATACTATATAAATTATTCATCTTTGATGCCTTAGATTTGGTGAGAGCAATGAACTAAATAGCAAGATATCAATCCTAATTCAAAACAAACATGAAGGAGAAACCACCCTGCCATCACTGATGGTTCATAACAAGCACATCCTTCCACAGGATGTCTGTGCCCACTGAGTAGGTAAGATTATTTGCTAAATTTAGACTCCATTTACTTTACACTCCCTTAATAAACAATATCATCTCCTTTAGAAAATGTGATCTCCACGAGGACAATTTTATTATTGTTGTCGTTATCATTATTAATCACACAACCTAGAATAGAGACTCAATAAATTTGATGGATGAATAAACAAATCAATGGATGAACCAATGAATCTTCAACTACACACATGTTAAACACCCTTTTACCCTCGTTCTGTTGATACTGACCTCTGCCCTAGAAGATATTTTTTTAAATATATCATTTTTATTAAGTGTGTATTTGGCCCTATTATGTTCCACACCATGAGGAAGGCATCTCTGTGTACATTTTTAAAACTTCACCATGTACTTCATAGATTTATATGATTTTATCCCTACTTTAATGATGAGGAAGCTGAGTCTAAGTGTGGGAGAGTACAAAAGTAGCATCTAAAATCCTGTCTTATGGGGCACCTGGGTGGCTCAGACAGCTGGGTGACCAACTCTTGATTTTGGCTTAGGGCCTGTAGTCTCATGGTTTGTGAGACTGAGCCCTGCGGAGCCTGATGCAGGCAATATTTTAGAAGTGAAAAGCCTTCCTGGTCACTTGTTTGCACCACAGTTAAAAATAATCAAGACAGTCAGTCTCCTGCTCCAGTGAGCTTGCAATCTATAGAAACGTAAAGGCAAATTAAACTACCGTGAGCTAGAACTGAAGGAGCCATGCCTCCTAGGAATGGCTGCTACTGTGTTAAATAGAGACACTTCAAGAAGCTTTTAATTTTTGGTTACTAAGACATCACTTATGAATTGAAGCGTTGTATGTTGGAAAATAATTGGACTCCAAAGTTAGGTAGGTAGGGGCTTCAGTTCTGGCTCTGTTGCTTACTAGCAATGTGTCAATGAGCATGTTATTTAGACTTGCTAATTTTCTCAACTGTAACATGAAATCATACTAAATCTAACAGGAAATAAAAATATATAACATTAACGTATAATTCATATATATTATATTAATAATGGAATAAAATAATAATAGGAAGCAGCAGGGTTTTTTTACCCAGAAAATGTCAGCTTCTGGTTTTCCTCACACTTTACAAATTCCTCAATCCTTTTATCCACGCATAATTGAGAAATAGATCTGTTGGGTAACTTGTCTAAGGTCTTATGATATTTAGAGCCAGAGCTAGAACATTAATCCACAGTCCTGATTCCAAATTTATATATCCACTACATTTATTACTTTCTGTAAGTGGCTTAGGAGTGGTTGACTAAAGCTAACTTAACTTTTGCATTGATTATAATATATTGCATTCCTTTATAATGTTGATTAGACATAATGGCAGGTACATAAACAAAATCATATACATCCATGTTTGAATAATAAACCAACTCAGGATATTTTCAAAAGATCCTACTGCCTCAAAGACTCCTACAGCTGACTCGTTTAAATTAGAGAGGTTTGAATGGAACTATTTTTGCTGAAATGCCAACTGTCAAGTGACTAAGTGCTCAGATGACTGGATGTATTAGTAACGAGGAGGAAATCTACCCTGGTTCCAGAAATAATTTGAAAAACTTAATCCCAAATTATCATCTTTATATTTGATACAGGAGGAGAGGCAGGGAGGAGAAACTGTTAGCACAATGGTTAGGATCATGGAGATTATAGTCAGACATGCTTTCCAATATTGACTATTATTAGCTACATGACCTTGTGCAAATTACTTAAGCTCTCTGAGTATTACGGTTTTTCATCTGCACATGGGGATTATTACAACTTTTTAGGAAGGATCAAATAATTTAACATATGCAAAGCACTAAGTATATAGTTTCAGGTATAGAGTGTTTAATGACAGCTCTTATATTATTATTGAATACAAGACCATTGGGTAGGCCCCAAATTGTTTTTAACTGTGGTTCTATAACACTTACTGAATATTCATTGTTGTAATAACTAACATGGATATATCATATAAATATATAATAATAATTACCACACGTGGAACTCAAAGAATATGTCAGATACTAAACCACTCATTTTACATGAACAGATTCCACTGAATCCCTCTACAATAATGCTTTACGATATATTATTCTTTTTTTTTTTTTTTTTTTTTTTTTTTTGAGAGAGAGAGGTCACAAGTGACCAAAGGGAAGAGAGAGAGAGAGGGAGACAGAGAATCCCACAAGGGGCAGAGAAAGAGAAGTGTGGCTCACCCGAAGCAGGGCTTGAGCTGATGAACTGTGAGATCATGACCTGAGTCGAAGTCCGATGCTTAACTGACTGAGCCAACCAGGCGCCCCAAGATATATTATTCTAATTTTAAAGAAAAAAACGTCCTATAATAATTAAGTAACTTGTCCATGATCTTGTAGCTGAGATACAAAAGTAACAAAACCCTATTTTGTTTTCTGTTGAGAAAAGCCAATGGTCAAAGACTCTAAATAACTTGTGCAACATCATCTAGTAAGTGGCAGAGGCAGAGTCTGATAAGTGGCAGAGATCCTCTGATGAGGAACTTGTTCTTTTTCTATTTCAACACAGGTGATTGGTAGCATATGATGGCGGAAAAATCAAGTGTCCCAAGTCAAATGAAAAAAGAGAGACAGAAAGAACAAACAGAACAAACAGATTAATGGAGGTGAATCTAGATAGTGTTCTCTTAAACTTAAATAAATAGCAATAAACTATCAGTTATTAAAAGCTTTCAGGAGCAAAGATTCTATTAGGGCATTAGAGGTTTATGGGGGAGGGGGGGAGAAAGTAAACCATATGACATTCCACAGAATCTTTTCCATAAAGAAAAAAGAGAAGCTGTTATTTCACTGAGCTGTTGCCATGGTTACCTAAAACCCATGACTCTCTGCTGAAATGTGACTTATTTTTTTTTTCTTCCCACTGTTTCCTTCCATGTGATGTGCTTTTCACCTGATGAGTGAATTCCCTGGCCACATTTCACTCGCATTTATCGTCTAGGAAATATTTGGTTTTTCTCTGTATTTTGATACATCATGACAGTTATTCCTGATCTACCTTTAGTTTTTTATGGCTGGTCTATCTGCTGCTTGCCTAACATTGGATCTAATTGTGTTGAGCACAGGTATTTATACTTTAATGTTATTAAGGAACCCCCCCCAATCCCCAAATATATTGGACTGTTTTAGCTGATGACAAACATGCTTCTACATTAAAAGCTCTTGTCATTAAAGAAATAAATGAAAAAAATACATATACACAAAAGACATAAATTCTGAATATAAGAAAAATACTTTTCTAAAAATACCAACAATAATTAATATATTATTTTATGTAATGGGAAACTCAATCTCACTTAAATAATACTCTGTAACTTGCTTGATCTCCTCTATTGTATGCTCTTTCTTCTTCTTCTTCTTCTTCTTTTTTTTTTTTTGCATGAATGCATATAAACATACCTACAGAAGCCCAGAAAGAACTACATAAAATGTTTTATTCTACACTTTGAGTGAATCACTGCTTATTTTGCATTGTTGTGTCCTTGACCTTGATGATCCAATGCTATAAAGAAGTATGGTCTAAGGTTCTAGAAATCCAGGCATGCAGAGTTTAATTTTTAATCTATGTTATTTTTAGAGCTAACATTTCTATGACTTTTAATTTTGTTCAACATACATTTTTAAAGTCTGTTTTATGTATATATCATGGTTCTGGGCTCTGTGGATACAAAAGTAAATTAGAAATGGTCTCTACCTTTGGAGCCGCAGACAGTATGGTAGACAAAGACAGTTTTGAAAACCATTCCATGTACTGAAAAGTTATAGATACTATAATAGAAATCTGTACCAAGTGTAATGTAGCACAAAGGAGTGAGGGTAAATTCTACCTGAGTAAGGGATGTGGATCAGTAAAAATGTAATGGAATATTTCTATCATAACATAAATGAAAAGGACTACAGAATAGCTGCCGCATTTGTCTGTGCAACTCAATTTTAAGGAAGAACAAGTAACTACAAGTCAAATTTTATATCCATAAATTATTGGTTTAATTGATTTCTTCTAGCCTAAATGGCTCCTTATTAACAGGAGAAATAGCATTGGAGTCAGAGTCACCAGGTTTCAATCCTCACCTGTGTGACCTTGTATAAATCATACCTTTTTGGGCATCTCTCTGTCCTCCTTTATAAAGTAAGGACACTATGGTACACACCACTGAGTGTCTCTTAGCTCACAGTTAATAAATGCTATGAATTTCTAAAGCCTCTATTTTTGTTAAAATATATCTGAAATTGAGGGAAAATGGAGGCTTTGCATGAAAGGGGCCATCAGTCTATCTAATTTTGAAGGTCTCCATGAATTCACTGACTCTGGAAGCTATTTGATTCTCCAAACAAAGTAGTACTTCTTGATTTGAGTGTACAATTCCAGCAAAAACATTTAAACTAGTGATGTGTTTATTATAAAACCTGTTTGTAAAGTGAAATAGATACCAAAACAATTTCAAGATTAATTAAGTCAGTGATTCTCAATGATGGTTGCATATTAGAATCACAAGAGATGGTTTTAGGGGCACCAGGGTAGCTCAGTTGCTTGAGTCTAACTCTTGATTTTGGCTCACATCATGATCTGAGAATCGTGAGATCAAGCCCCCTATTGGGCTCCACACTGGGCGTGGAGTACACTTAAGTTTCTCTCTCTCTCTCTCTCTCTCTCTCTCTCTCTCTCTCTCTCTCCCTCCCTCCCTCTCCCTCTGCCCCTCTTCCCAGATCTCTCTTTCTAAAATTAAAAATAAGGGCTGCCTGAGTGGCTCAGTCAGTTGAGTGTCTGACTTCAGCTCAGGTCATTATCGCACGGTTCTTGGATTACAGCCCTGCATTGGGCTCTGTGCTGACATCTCAGAGCCCAGAGCCTGCTTCATATTCCATGCCTCCCTCTCTCTCTGCCCCTTCCCTGCTCATGCTCTGTGTCTGTCTTTCAAAAACTAAAATAAAGTGTTAATAAAATTAATAATAATAATAGTAATAATAATAAAATAAATAAAAAACAAATGAGAGAAGGTTTTAAAAATACAGATGTTTCAACTTCACAGTAGACTACTTGAAAAGGATTTTCCAGCAGAAATTAGGTGGGTGGATCCATGAAATTTATTTAAGCTCCCTAAGTGATTTAGATACTGAGAACTGCATTAAATTGATATAAACAACTGATCTTCATTTTTAAAGGATGGTAACCAGAGAGACTATGAGAAAAAATGGAAATGGTGACTGTCACCTCACACAGTGACACTACTCAACAGTAGGCAGATACAAATGTTCTTGCATTTCCTTTTTTTTTCTAGAAACAGACACATTCTTTTTTTTTTAAATGTTTATTTATTTTGAGAGGAAGGGAGCACGAGTTGGGGAGGGGCAGAGTAAGAAGGGGAGAGAGACAGAATCCCAAGCAGGCTCCACACTGTCAGTACAGAGCCTGGTGCGGGACTCCATCTCATGAACCATGAGATCATGACTGGAGATGAAATCAAGAGTCAGACTCTTATTTTTTAATTTAGACCCTTCCTTTTTCATTTAAACTATCATTTGATTGTTTTTCTTCAATGGTCTTTATTCATTCTATTTCCAAATTTTGTTTTTAACACCAACTACTACACAGCAGTTTAACTATAGAATAATATTGAACCTAATGTAATAATTTCAGTCCAGTGTTTACCCACTAGACCCAAAAAGTTTTATTTAGAAGTAAAATTGGCCACAATTACAAAGAAAAAAGGGGAGGGTAAGGACTTTCCACTCAATAATAAATGATTAGGAAAAAAAAAGCAAATATATTGCTAGTAATACCAAGTAGCATATATCTCCTATAATAAAATATCAATTAAGTTTCGGTGTGGATGTTGTCACATTTTTGGTAATTTAGATAAGACACCAGCCTTTCTGGGTCAAGTGAAACTGTACAGGTAAGGAAAGCATTATAAATGACTGAAAATCCCTATCCTAACTTAGTAGTATTTTAAGCAGTAACAGGATGAGAGTGTTAGATGAGAGGTTTGCATTTTATAGATTAAGGTAGGAGATCCAAAGGCTTATTGAAATAGGTTTTTTTCAGGCTCATCTTTTTCCAGCCTTTTCTGCAAAAAACACTCATTACTCTTGGTAAATACTTGGCATTAGTCATACCAGATATTACACCATGACCAATTTTCAATGAGCTTCAATAGACTACATTTGGAAGGTGTGTGAACTTAGTGGGAAGGGGAGGAAGCCATTCATATATCACGTCTGTAGAGTGCAAGATGTGGATGCCAGATTCTTCCCATCTCATTTAAACATTGGGCTTAATTCCATAAAGCACTGCTAGTCAAAATTCTATATTAGAAATGTTTGGAATAAAGACAGAAAAGCATTCCTTTCACCTTATGGTTTTAAATTATTAAAAGCATATTTTTTGGGTCACATTTTGCCCCTAATCCAGAGTGAAAATTTTAGAACGGGAGAAATAGAAATTAAATTTCAAAATTTTAATTCCTTACCTTGTACCTCTAAAGTTTGAATATATTTAGGAAAAAAAGCAAATTTCTTCTGCAACCTAACGAAAAAAAATGAAATGAGGTGGAATAAGCCAGATCCTTCAGTTAAAGACATCATAGCAGTCACGTCCTTGGGAATACTATAGGTAATCAGGCAGCCCAGCCTGACCTATCTCTGCTATTTCTTGGCTCTGCAATCTTGTACAAGTTACCTTTATACCTCAGTGTTTCAATCCTTAGACTGGAGAAAGGTTAGTAAAAGTATTAACTGCGTTACTACACAAAAAGTCTTGCAACGGGGCTTCACACATGCTAAATGAAAATGAACATTTTCATTACGTACCTATTTGGGCCCCAGGGTCTTCATATACTTTTTAAAAAGATTTAATCTAAATAATATTCACCCAGTTTTCCTGATGATAATAATCACCATAGACATTTAGTCAATGATGCCTTCCCAAGAACCCTCTCCTGAAGATTCTGATCAATGGGTCTAAGGGTAAGACCAGGGATTTGTAATTTGTACACTGTATGAATTTTATTGTGAAGAAAATTTCAGAAACATTGACCTAGATCATTAACCTGCTTAATCATCTGAACATTCATCCATTCACTGAACAGATAATGAGCCCTTTCCACTTGTGAGGCACCAACCTAGGTACTGAGAGATACAGTGATGAGCCAAATACTATGTATTTATTAGAGCTTAGGAACCTGGTGGAGGATATTAGACAAATAGCCACACAAATATCTGTGTAATTACAATCGTGAAGTGTGCTGTAAAGGAAAAATACAAGGTATGCTGAGAACTTTTAATAGAGGACCTTTTCTACTCTTGGCAGGAGAGATGCAGAGGAGCGTATATGAAGGCCTGCCTGCAGAAGCAATAGCTGAGGTTTTTTTTTATGCTCTGATATTGTATGTCCAGGATGTCTTACCTGCCAAGAGGAGAAGAAGGATGCTGGGCTGAGTAAGTTCGGGTTTGCTGGGTTGCGCCCTCCCATGTACTCATCTGTGCAAATGTCACAGCTTTCAGCATCTCGCCAATCCCAATATGGAATAGTGAAGTTCTCATCCCCGGTCAACTTCTGGATTTCTTGTTCCCACAGCAACAAGAAGAGTCTGTGCCAAGGCAGGAAACCTGGGGCTTCATGAGCAAAATCAATGTCTTTCCAGATTTCAGACCCTCCAAGCAGTGTGTCCCTTGACACATAGTAATGCATCCAGACGAAGAGGTCATAAACATTGATGTCATTAAACATGGGTGTAGATCCATTATTCATTTGGCCATAGGTGCCTATGGGGATGACATAGTCTGGGCTGATAGTATGCTTCGCTAAAGTGAGGTAGGCAAGAAATTTGTTCTTCTCTGGGACGCTCAAATCAAAGATGTTTCTTCTCACCAAAAGTCGCTTCTCTGTGCAGTTTGGTCCCCAAAAGCCAAACTTGCAATTTCCACAGTTGAATCCCATGAAGTTGCCAAAGCACTGGCAGGTCCGATTATAAAAGACGGAGGGCCAGGCCTCCCGGTCATCCATCCCTGTGAAGGGGTATTGAGGCCCGAGTGGAGCTTTGGACAGCGTGATGTCCTGACAGGCACCCCTGCCAGAGAGCTGGCCGCAGGGACTGCTGTCACCCGTCCACGCTGGACAGCATTCCTTCTCCATCAGGCTCTTGGAGGAGGCACAGGCTCGAGGGAAATGGCCAGCGGAGGTCCGGAAACTCCACAGCAGGCAGCACAGAGCAGCCAGGAGCATGCTTACCCTCGTCCTCACGGATCTGTTTGAGCTGGTTAATTGAGCCACACACTTCTCTTTCCAGCTACCCCTACAGTGACTATCACATGTTTCGGCTAAGACCTATATAACACCAGTCCCACCTCCAGCATCAAACACTCTCCGTCTTTATCTTAAGCTTTCATCTTCTGAAAACCACATGACTAACTTTTCCCTGGAGTTGGCACGTATCCCACCAGTGGGACAGGCTTATTATAAAGGGAGAAACACTTTTCACCATTAATAGTTTAACTCATATGGTTATAATAATAGAATAATGATCATGCCTGATCTAAGTAAACCCAGTTCGTTGACTGAAATTAGTGATGATTTGAATTTGAACATGAGAGGTGGTATCAGGAATAGAGCTTCTCTCATTAAGAAAGTTCAGGAAAGGTTAGAGATTATGGGGGCCAAGGTAGTTTCTCAGGGACCATAAATAGGCCACAACATTTGCAGAACTCAGCTCTGCAGAAAGAGATTCTTTTCAGAGCCTAGAGATTTTATTTCATCCCCAGTTATATTGCAGCTTATTTATTTTATACAAAGTATCTGAAGAAAAAAAAATCTTTCTGATTCACCTTCCTTATTATCTGACACAGTTGACTACTTTCTAGTGATCTAGGCATTCATTTCGTAACCATTCCTAAGGATAGTATAGGTGGGTGATCTGGTTTATTGTGGAGACTTCTACTAGCTAATATTCCAAAGGAAACTCTTTTTTTTTTTTTTAAATGCTGCAGCCATGTTGTTTCACCCATAAGTTCTAGAAATCAGAAATTGTTTTGATATTTAGTCTGCAATATGGTCTTATAAAAGAATTCTCAAGTTAGGGTGTGAATGAATAAGATTAATATATTTAGTCAATAAATATTTACTGGTCCTATAAATTCTTTTTCTGTGTATAGTCAGCTAGATAAACTGAAACACATGGATAAAAGTATAATTCTACCACTTATGCCAGGTTTCAAATGAGCAATATAGATAATATGTACATCAGACTTCCAATGGAGGGACATCTTTGTGAGCCAAGGATACTGAAACAGATTGCATAGTTTTGGATAATAGTATTCCACTTTTACTAAAAGAATGCCCCTTGAATAAAACCTTAAAGGGTAGGCGTAAGTTGGAAAGACAAACAGAATGGAGATACTACTTCAGGCAGGGGGAGACTCCAGAGGCAGGAGCTGTGTCTCACTGGCCGAGCTGGAGAACTGGACTCAGGAAGGCTCCCCACACTAAAGGAAGTTAAACTTGGGACCAGTCCATCAAGGGGCCTAAAAACTAAGTGGTTTAAACTAAAGTGAGCTGAGGAATTATAGGATGAGAGTAGGCAAACCAAAGTTGTTCCTGGATTTCCTTCCTTATCCTGTTCCATACTTGAAGCTGGGTGGTCCCCTTAAACCTACAGAACAACTGAGAACAAGTTAAAGCTCTGAGTAAGGCAGCGGTGTCTGGTCTCAGAGCTATGGGGTTCCAGGGAAGACTATCTATCGCTTTCCTCGTGATGTTATAGGCAGCCTCTGCTTTCTCCCCTTTCTTCTGGAGTTAGTCTCATTTTTTAGAAAAACATCAAGGTGACTCCGTACCACTCTCTTGGGACTCAAAGCAGCTTTTTTAGGTGGAAGGAGCAGTGTGTGGGTGAAGAAGAAGAGAAGATAAGTTTCCATGGAAATGTTGCCTCTGGCTGGGATCAGGAAGTCATCACATGATCTCCACAAGAAGGCTTAATCTTTTTTCTTCCTCCTTTCAGACCCACCAAGGGATTAACACAGGGCTTCTTGTCCCTGGGGAGTCTTGGTTCTGTATTACTTATAACCACATGTGGCCTTTTGTAATTCTGTTCCATCTACTTGCAGACAGAATTCACTTCTAATGTTCAATTTAATTAAGAATTTTGCTTTACACTTGCCCCCCTATCAGGCTTCCCAGTGAATAACTTATAAAGTCTTCATCACACTGCTGGATTCCTGTGTCTATTTTCCCAGGTCTGTTTTTTATAGCCTTCCAAGCATGCTTAGATGAATGGCAAAAATGTACTTTGTCCTCTTAACTTCTCTTCAGAAAAGTGGTCTCTTTAACTTGACAGACCTCTTTATTACTCTCAAATATAGAACACTATCTTCTCCCATCCATATGTTTAACAGTCTTATTGTCAATACAAAATTCTTCCATATCAAACCCCATTTAAACTTGTTCTTCCCTGAATGACAGAATTTGAGAGTAATCTCCTATTCTAGGAGATTATTGTATGAGTTAACACCTGAGCTAATGCAATACTCTATTAACCAGAATTAGAGCTCAGTAAATACTCTGCAAGTATTTATTATCAATTATCAGGCATATGTTGAGAGATGGGGATGCTGTGGTAAACAAAACAGAGAGGTTTCTATCCTCATGAAGCATGTAGTCTATTAAAATAATATTTTAATTTTAATAATTTTAAATAACATTTATAACTATGTGTATTTTAATTTTTTTTTTCCTGGTCAAATGACTTTTTAATCTGCTGTAAAAAAAAAAAAAAAGAGCTTCTAGGGAAGATGGCAGGGAGACCTATCTAGTTTCATGAGGCATAGTTAAGGAAGGTATTCTGGAAGAAGTTACATTTCAAGTGACATCTGAAGATTAGAAGAAGTCTGGTGAAAAGGACAAGAGTGGATGTGAGTGCATTTCAGGCAGAGGGAATATCATGTGCAAAGGCTCCAAAGTGGAAGGAGCATAGCATGTTCAAGGATCCTAAAGACAGTTAAAGTGGCTACAACCCCAAAGACTGGAGATGTGATAGAAGTATGGAGGTATACATATGAATGAGATCTCAGTCCTTGACAGGTTTGAAGGAGAGTTGTGATGTAATCATATGTGAATTGAAAACATTTCACTCAAGCTGATGAGAGGACAACAGACATGGGGATGGGAAGAAGAGTTAATCTAGAAATAACTGCTAGAGATCCTTAGTAGAGAATAACTCGGGCAAGAAATTATGAGGCTTGGACCAGAGAGATGATCCCTGAGATGGACAGTAGTGAATGGATTTGAGAGATATACAGGTGATGAATTCCAGAGGAGTGAGGCGTCAAGAGTAAAGGGATTTGGGGTTGACTTCTAGGTTTCTAGCTTGTGTCATTAACTAAAATGAAGAAAGACTGAGGATAAAATGTTTATGGAAATTGAATGTGGGTTCAATTCTAGACATGCTGAATTTGAGAGTTTATGGTAGAGTCTAGCCACAAATAATTCTTCTCTGGTCTCTGGTGTTTACATTGATCATTCACCCACTCATTGGTTTTGACCAGTCATGGTATTGACCTTGATCTTTTCCCTCACTCTGATGGTTTGTCTTTGCTCATTCAGTTGATGATAGTTTGAACTTTCTTCTCCAGCTTCATTTTTTAGCCCTCCTTCTCTCAATTTTAATAGTAGCTACCATTTATTGATTCCAATTTGAATACCTACCATTTAGAAATAAATTCTACTCTGTAAATAGTTAAATATACTCAAACTAGAAACAAATAATATAATTAATTAGCATGTACTCATCATCACACTTCAACCACCACCATCATATTTCTGTAGGCATTATTTCTTCTGTCTCACGAACATAAAAAGAAAAAAAATCTTTAGTATTTTATTTTTTATTTTATTTTATTTTTTTTTTAAATTTTTTTTTTTCAACGTTTATTTATTTTTGGGACAGAGAGAGACAGAGCATGAACGGGCGAGGGGCAGAGAGAGAGGGAGACACAGAATCGGAAACAGGCTCCAGGCTCTGAGCCATCAGCCCAGGGCCCGACGCGGGGCTCGAACTCACGGACCGCGAGATCGTGACCTGGCTGAAGTCGGACGCTTAACCGACTGCGCCACCCAGGCGCCCCTAAATCTTTAGTATTTTAAAAACAAGTCTCGAATAGCATGTCTTCTCTGTAATGTCTCAGTATACATTGTTAACAATTAAGGACCTAAATATATAACTACAATATCAGTCTAACATCTCAGACAAAAAGAGAGAACAATAGTTGCTTAACATCCTCTGATTTCAAGTCTATGCTCAATTTATTTTAATTATCTTAAACATATTTTTTTTTTGAAGATCGAAACAAGGTCTATAAATTGCTTTTGGTTAACATATTTCTTGTTGTTAAAAATCTATTTTTCTCATCTTTTAAAAAAATGCAATTTATTTATGGAAGAAACTGGATTTTGTTCACTAGTATTTTCTACTTTTAAGGGATGACCAATTTTTCCTCTCAGTATCGTCTGTTTCTTTATTCTGTGTTTTCTATCACCTCATGGATTTTCAATAATAATCCCTTGCATTTTCTATAAGTAGGGAATTAGATTTAGAGGTTTGATTAGATTCAGGATCAATTTTGTATTGTTTTTGTTAAGAATTTCTTCATGCATGTGGTCATGCACTACTTTTTCAAAGACATCAGAGGAACACATCTGCTCTATGCACTATTAGTTTTTTACATTGAACAATGGTTAGAGGAAAGGTCAGACTGTCATGTCTGTAATATAGTTCTCTGACAAACTTTTACCGCACAGATATATCATTCATTCATAATAATTTCCTATATCCATTATTTTATTGAAGATTACAAGAAAAGTGAATTTTGTAATTCTTTTTTTAATGTTTATTTATTTTTGAGAGAGAGATGAGAGAATGAGAGAGAGGCAGAGAGAAAGGGAGACAGAAAATCTTCAGTGGGCTCTGCACTGGCAGCAGAGAGCCTGATGCAAGGCTCTAATCTATGAACATGAGATCATGACCTGAGCTGTTGAATGGTTAACTGACTGAACTATCCAGGCACCTCGTGAATTTTGTAATTCTATTTGCATTTAAAATATTTTTGTAAAAAAATAACTTTTCATCATCAATTATTTGGTTACTCTGAATTATATTCTATATAAGAAAGGTGGGGTAAATACTCGATTCTTGTGCTTTATCAATTTCACAATTATGGTTTGGTACTCTAACA